AAACATAGCAAATCAAATAAAGAATGGATCAATGGGATTGCATCATACTAAAAAAAAAAGTTCATGGCAAAGGACATAGATAACAAGCTAAAAAGACAGCTTACAGAATGAGAAAAGTTCTTTGCCAGCTATCTGTCTAAGAGGGGCCCAATAGCTAGAATATACAGAGAGCTTAAGAAACTAAATCTCCAAGAATCAACAACCCAATTAACAAATGGACAGCTAAATAAGGACTTCTCAGGAGAAGAATTAAATATGTTTTTGTTTAAAATTTACTCCTCTTAAACCTGGGAATAATTAAGAGACAAAAATATTAAAGTAAAACACATAGAAGAAATAATTGAATTCTTTGAAATGTTAGGAAACAAGAATGCAAGATATCCTCCCTGACCATACAGGAATTTTAACACAATCCCTGAAGACCACCAGGTTTGTAAATAAGAGTTTTCCCCAGCAGAATTTGAATGACTAACAAGCTCCCAGATGACACCAATGCTGCTGGACTACATGACACTTTCTGTAACAGGATTAATGTCAATGTCTAAAATATTCATTGATATATATTGACTCCCAATGAAAGAGTCACTAATACATTGAAATTCAGGTTGAGGAGGCACTTAGTACCCAAAGTACACATAACACAAACTAACCTGATAATGGCATACTGTAGCTAAATTTTTAAAAGTGAAGGTAAAGGAATTATTTTCAGATCTGCAAAACAGAAGTACCCAGTGATATTTAAATACAAAGCTATTAGACTAACAGAAGATTTCTAGGGGGGGGGGAAGCTAAAGTCCAAATAACATGAAATGATGTATTTTAAGTCCTGAAAAAAATACTGCCAATAAAGTATGCTGTGCCCAGTAAGATTATCCTTCAGAATTGAAGGATAAATGAACATAATCCATGACAAACATAAAGTAATAAAATTTATGACCAGTATACCACCATTACAAAGTTAGTTTGCTTGAGGGAAACAGAAATATAAAATGGTGAGAGCATATAGAAGAACAAATCCTGATGCAAGAGTACACTGGAAAATTAGACTAGGAGTCAAATAACATAAATACAGCCCACCACTAAATTTCCATGATGAATAAAAATAGCAAGAAATAAAATCAGAAGAAAAGCAACTAAATGGCAAGAATATAACTTAGTATCCAATGATAACTCTCAATATAAGTGGTCTTAATTCTCTACTTAAAAGAAACTTGAACATATTTAAAAATGTGATTTTAAAAATAGGAGAAAAATGAGGGAAGGGGTAACAAGTTTGACAAGAATTGCACTTTTACCTTACTTATGGAAGTGTAACCCCTCTGTGCATCACCTTGACAATAAAAAAAAAGAAATGTGATTCAAAAAATTCTGCCTATAAGAAATGCCTCACCTACAAAAAAATGAAAATGAAAAGGTGGAAAATATTTAAAATAGATAGGCGTGAACAAATGCAGCAGTGGTACTCACTAGACACTACATGGAAAATAAACTACACAACTAGTGGATAGGAATGGGAGGGAAAAACATTCAAAAAGAAATATGAACCGGGTGCCAATGGCTCATACCTGTAATCCTAGCTACTCAGGAGGCTGAGATCTGAAGATTGAGGTTCAAAGCCAGCCCAGGCAGTTAAGGCTGTAAAACATGTATCTCCAATAAACTACCAGAAAACCAGAAGTGGAACTGTGGCTCAAGTGGTAGAGTACTAGCCTTGAGCCGAAGAGCTCAGGGACAACACCCAGCCCAGAGTTCAAGCCCCACAATGGACAAAAACAAACAAAAAAACCCACTTTATCTGATTTATGAAACTGTAACCTCTCTGTACATCACTTTTATGATAATGATAAAAATATTAAAAATAGGATTCAAAAGAAAGCAAATATTGGTATTCTTACATTCACAAAGTAGATATATAAATTAAGTCAGAAGAGACAAAGAATATCACTATATACTGAAAAAGGAACAATTGATTGAGCACATATAATGAATATAAATACATATGTACTGTCACAAAAAATTAAAATTATACTGTAGATGAGATGAGCATTCAGAATACGATGTTCAGTCCAAAAGCTGTAAAGTACACATTTTTTAATCATCAAGTGGAACATTTTCTAAGATAAACTAAGTGTTAGGCTACAAAGCAAGTCTTAACAAATTCAGAAAACTAAAATTATTTCTTGCATGCTGAATCACAATGGCATAAAATAAAAAATCAACAGTAAGAGAAACTGCAGGTTAAATTATATAAATATAGTTGAATAATAAACTATGAAACTAAGAATGGATCATTGAATATGTCTTGAGAAAAGTCTTTAAAGACCTTGGAACAAATAAAAATAAATATAATAAAGATACAGTAAAAGCAATACAAAATAGGAAATGTATTTTTTAATGTAAATGCAAATGCATGTAAAGAAAACTCTAAAGATGAACCACAAGGACTTAGAAAACTAAGCGAAAACAAACCTAATATCAGTAGAAGGAAAAAACATTAGACACTAGAAGAGATGCAAATGAAATAACAAAGCAAAGCATCAGTGAAAGACAAAAAAATTGGTGTTTAAAGAGATATGCCAAAGAGATACCAATGTGTTAAAACATTGGTATAATGAAAATGGAAAATACATAGTAGCAAAGGTAACGTTGCTTAGAAAGATCTATTAAATGAACTTGGGGTAGAAGAAAATTCAAGAAACCTTACTATATTGTAAAACATGATAGAAATACTCCTAAAGAAAAACTTAGCACTGCGTAAGGTTTTCTGTTAATTTAGTATTTCCAATTTAGGAATTTATCCTTAAGGTTTAACATTCTGTCCTTTAAAATTATGAAAATTCTATTTTCTGTAGATACATCATAATAATACATATACATAGTTTTATTCATTGGTAGGTTCTTTCTAATTACCCAAACTGGAAACAATTGAAGAGCTGACATATAAAAGAGTGGTCAGACAAAGTAGGCCTGTGCAGGTGTAAGCACATTTGAAATGTCCACATGAATTGATATGTATGTTTGAGTGGATATATTGTTAAGCAAATAGCCAGAAAAAACTAAGGTCCTTTACTGTGACATGCTAATATCCATTCAGTTAGTCAATATCAGGCTATATTTCTCTTCTGTGCTTTCATGTTTCTTAAATAATTGTACTATTCCTCCTATACTCTGCTTGTAAACCCTGAACTATGTAAGTGATTTCCTGAACTAAGTAATTGTAAATAGTGAACAATCAGATATTAGATCCATCTATATTGGGTACTCTGGATGGATATAGTTAAAAAGGATTGATATGGCAGGATTGATATGGAAACCAATTCTGTACTACACAATTTGAAAATCCCTTAGGAAATGATGTTCTAATAGTGTTACCCCGAGAATTCTTTGTTCTTATTAGATGCTTTCCGGTAAGACACAGAGGTGTACATGCTCCATTGTGTCCAGGGGACAGTTTCCACTCTGCAGATCATTGCACATTTAGCAAGATGAATTGTGGTATAATGTAGAAGGGGCATTTTGATAGTCTTTCATAACTATCATGCAATAAATCAATCAGAAAAAGATATTTAAATCCCTCATATTTTTAGGGTAGAATGAAGTTTTCGGAGAAAAGAATAGACCCTTGGTGCTCTGTCCTCTTCAGCTTGATGAGTTAAGTATTGAAGTGCAGAAGGATCCCCTAAATCTGTGTACAGAATTTATTAAAGAAACCTCCTATGCTACTCAAAGGTTGGTTTTTTCTGCTACTTTTTATATTTTGACTTGTAGATAATTGTGAAAGATTACACAAAGGACAACTAAGTAATGACACTTTAAAGTTTCCTACCAAATCAGAAATGTTAAATATGAGTTTAAACTGAAAAGCCTTTTCATTTTTGTGTGGTATGCATAGTATCTAGGCAAACTGAACATGACTTCTTGTTTTGGCCTGTGCTCACCTGATCTCATAATAGGAGAGTATGTGTGTTGTGGGCAGACAGAGTATGTGTAATTACTGAGGCACCACAAGTCAGGAGTTTGATACAGGGCAATTCTAGTTAAATATCATATCAATAAGCACTTCATGACAATGTTGCTACTGGGATGGTTTACACAAATGAGAACATTTGTGCGATTACAAGTTTCAGAATGGGCAAAAGAACTCTTGTTCTTTAGCAATTTTCAATAGTTTGTGGTTCCATCAGCAATGATGTGATAAATCTCTAAACATGGTTTCTCATGTGAGTGAGTCATTCTGTTTCTTTGTCATATACTGCTATGTCTATCCTGTCTCATCTCTATCTAGGATGCATCAAAAGATTTAATGGCTCAGTTTCTGCTATAAATTCTGCAGATGACACCAGAAAGAACATTACGTTTTCATTCTATTTTAGTCATTATAGATTTACTTTTGTGCATGTTCTGTTTTCTAAAGCATAATATATTCATTAGGGATTTAAAACAATTTTCTTAATATCTTCATTGAAGAACATGGGATTTTACATATTTCTCATTTAAAAAGGCCTTTTCTTAATTTACTGTGATTTAAAACATAAACCTAAATAGGAATTTATTTAAAAGGGTTCATAATTTGCTTAAGAAGGAATGTTCTAGAATTTGGATGTGAGTTAGAACTTGTATTTAAAACTTCCATAAGAACTTCTAGTAAACTGCAATTCTGAGGCTATTATCTCTGAAATTAGCCTTTCTTACTCTGACCCATTGTTCTGAATAGAATTTCACTTTTCCTTCATATTGTACATAAAACTTAACAGTAGCTACTATTAGGTACATAGTTCTCACTAGATATAAGATTATTGCTATTTCTTAAGTTCCTTTTTTGGTTGATACTTAATATCAATGTTTTGATAAGGCTATTTACTTTGTAACATTTGTCTCATCAAAATTGAGCTTGGTAAGTGTCTGATACTCGGTATAACTCAAGGGGAAGAGATGTCTTTTTTTTTTTTACAGGTAATACTAGAATTTGCTTTTTGTGGATATGATTGAACAAGAGAGAAATGAAGAACAAATCAGAGGAGATCGTGTTCATCTTGCTGGGACTGACAGATGACCCTCAGCTACAAATCGTGGTTTTCCTGTTTCTCTTTGTCAACTACATCCTGAGCCTGATGGGGAACTTTGTCATCATCCTGCTCACACTGCTGGACCCCCGCCTCAAGACTCCCATGTACTTCTTCCTTCGAAATTTCTCCTTCTTAGAAATTTCATTCACCACCGTTGGCATCCCACGCTTTTTGACCAGCATTCTCACAGGAGACAAAACAATTTCCTATAATGGTTGTGTTTCTCAGTTCTTCTTTTTTTTTCTACTAGGAGTTACAGAGTTTTACCTGCTGGCCGTCATGTCCTATGACCGCTATGTGGCCATCTGCAAACCCCTGCATTACCCAGTCATCATGAACAGCAAGGTGTGCCACCAGCTGGTGCTCAGCTCCTGGGTGATTGGATTCTTAACCATCTTTCCCCCTTTGCTCTTAGGACTCCAGCTGGATTTCTGTGCAAACAGAAAGATTGACCACTTCCTCTGTGACACTTCCCCTGTCCTGCAGATCTCTTGCACAGATACACATTTCATAGAAATGTTGGCTTTTGTCTTTTCTGTGATGACACTTGTCATCACACTGTTTTTAGTGGTCCTTTCCTACACCTTCATCATCAAAACCGTCCTAAAATTTCCTTCAGTTCATCAAAGAACAAAGGCTTTTTCCACCTGTTTCTCACATATGGTTGTTGTCTCTATTACTTATGGAAGTTGTATCTTTATGTATACACAACCAGAAAAGGATATGGTTACCTTCAATAAGGGTGTAGCTCTGCTCTATACCTCTGTGGCCCCTTTACTCAACCCTTTCATCTACAGCCTAAGGAACCAGCAAGTAAAAGAAGCTTTCAAGCATATGTTTCAAAGGTTAGGTTTTGTTTCTTTAAAATAAAGAGGCAAAATTTAGATATCAATATCAAGCTATTGCAATGTGAATGAAAAGAAACGAATACACCTTCAATTACATTATTTCTAATCTGTGGACCTATGCCACTTCCCTCCAGAATTCTTAATCATAGTAGCTTCATTGAAATGCTCCAGGCTCTTCTTTCTCATTATGTTTTCCTAATCCTTAGGAACAAATCATTTGTTTTTGTTAAGAATGTTAAAATCTCTCTTCACTTACAAATCTCTCTTCCACAAATAAGATGCTGACGTGTGAGTAGATGATACAAGAACCCCTTGCTAATTCACTTAATTTACTTACTTATTTGGAAGTGAGTTCATTGCCCAGCAGCTTATATTTGCTCAGAGGTATTGTGCCTTGTGAAAAGTGTCACAGAGAAAACATGACATTATATTATATCATTATATTATTATATCATGTAATTGAGGTGGTGATAGGATTGAAGTAGAAAAATCTGAGTGTGATCAAATGAAAATATCACTTCTGAAGCTCCTTGAAAAATGAATGGAGAAATTAAGTATTCTAGGGTGCTATGGCTTGTGCAAAGAACTGTTTGAAATGTTTGTCTTGTAGGGCCATAAAATTTGACTATAAGTTGTATTTTAAATCCAGTTAGTGGAATTTGATTTTTTTAAAAGATTGAAATAGAGCCTTTAATTCTAATGATATCCATTTCTTTAAACAACTTGAATTCTAAAGTACTGTTGATACTTCAAAAATCTTATAATTCATTAATACCTTGGTCTAAGTCTGTATGTATTTAATACAAGTTAAAAATTATAATCCATTCTGCTTGTTTCACTTTTAACCTAGTTAATTTGTCATATACTATACACAGAGTATTCATTTCCTTAAAATAAATCGGTTGTTAAAAATATACACATATTTGTGACCATGGAGATTATCTTAGTGAATTGTTCCTTTGGCCTCTTTCCAGTCACTGCCTACCACCACTACTACCTACTTCTGCCCTGAATCACAGTATCCACCTATATTCTTTTAATCACTCTAAATTTGTCTCAAATTATCTGGTATTTTGTAAGAAAGAAACCATACTGGGTGAGCATTGTGTGGCTGATTTTCTCAACATAATAATGTGAGTTCTTCCACTGTATTATTGCTTTCATTGATGATTGGTTTCTTTGTTAACTTGACTTATCAGTGTGAATGTTGTTTGGGGGAATTTTCTTATTTGTTTGTTTGAGGTTCATTAAAATTCTTTGGTATTGTCATTCTGCAAGAAATTTCTTCAACAGACTGAGTGATTTCCTTTGATTCGTGTTAAAATAATACCATATCTTAAAATGTCAATCAATGAAAGCCTCTATCCTTCCACCACGTATTTTGTTTGTTGTGTGCCAAACAAGTAGTAGAATGAGTTTGTTCTCTATGTCTTGGGAATTCCACCCCTCAGTTTATATTCTTTTTTTTTATTGTGAAAGTACTGTACAGAGGGGTTACAATTACATGGGCAAGGTACATTTCTTATTAAGCATTGTTGCCTCCTCCTGTGTTTCCCCTCCCCATCCCTTCTCATCTCCCCTCCCCTCTCTCCCACGCCAAACTTGTAAAGTTTGTTTTTTTGACATAACGTCTGTACATCTCATTGTTGCAATGGGTCCACCTGTATCCCTATTTAAACAACTTGTTTTTTCCCTTCCTCTCCACAAATTATACCCACATCAAATACAGTGAAAACAGGGGTTATACCATGGGGGAGGAAATACAAAGCAACAAAGAAATCATCTTATAAATATGTTAGGAACAATAAGTAAGTCAGTTTATATTTTATAGGCAGAGAAACTTTAGGAATTAGCCCAAGAGAAAAGAGGGAGGGTAACAATGCAGGAAGAAATTTTGCTACCTGATGCTTCCCTGTAAGGCCCAGATCACCTGAAAATCAATTCACTATCTACTTGGTCCAATCCTCAACCTTGTTTGGAAAAGCTGTGATGAACAAAGTCTTAATATTGCTGGCAGAATGGTGCAGAAACTACTTTTCAAGATTGCCAGTGGAGTGATCTCTGCTAAGTAGGTACAGAAAAGATTAGAAAGAACTAGCAGTGTGTTTTGGTAATTTCTAACAAAATGATTTCTGATACTTTCAGCAGTAAAGTCGGTAGTTGTCCAATGCTTAATGAAAAGCTATTAAGAATGTCACCTGTGTCACCAGCTTGATCACAAAGATCTCTCTAACATAATCCTTCCCTTCCTTTTACCTTTTCTAAGTTTTTCAGTCATCTCAGTTACAAATAAATTAGGTCTCTAAAAATAAGGTTCTGAGGACCAACCTCCCAGCTTCCCTGCCTCTATGAGAAAATAAACAGGAAAGTGGTACGTTATTCTGCCAACATTCCATTTAAGAAAGATGCTTTGAAAATAATTTAAACTAAAGGGGTAACAACTTAGACAAGAAATGTAATCACTACTTTACTTATGTAACTCTAACCCCTCTGTACATCAGCTTGACAATATTTAAAAAAAAAAAAAAGAAGTTACAAATCACTGCTTCAATCAATGGTTCTGCTCAAGAGTGACTCCAGTGTTGGGAGCCTGTTCCCAACAGCTGTGTGTATTGTTCAGTTGGCCCCCATTAGATAAAACTTTTCCAGGTTTTGGCCAGTAAGAAGGCTTAAGTACAAGAAATCCATGCATATTCTCTCAGAACCCCTTGCTACCCCGTGAGTGAGCATGGTTTCACAAGGCACAGTGGAGAGTCTGATGGAGTAAAGAATTAGAATAAAGACCTATAAACATAGCAAACGAGTTCAAACACCTGTAAACTACAGATATATAATGTCCTAGTTCTTCTTAACAAATGATTTTCATTTAGCAAGACTTAGACTCTGAGAATAAACTTATTCTCATTTGTTCATTCATTCATTCATGGGTTCAACAAATGGAAATCTGAGAACTCTAAATTTATAGACATTGGAAAATAAATGTCATCCTGGAAATGAAATATTTATAGTTCATTGATTACTGATCATTGTCTTTACCAAAAATATAAAAATATTGACTATTCAAAAATAGTTGATATTGGGTTATTAAGCTATATCTTGAAGGTTATTCAATAAAAAACAGCCCTCAGAGCCCTCATTACCAAAGTTTCCTACTACAACATTAAAATCCTTGCTTGCCATCTCTCTCCTCATCCTCTGGAATGATTCACATGTTTTATGTTCCTATAGCTAATGTTAATTTCTAGAATATTATCTGAATGGAATATACATGAACTATTCTTTTTGAAGTAGGCTTTTTCCATTCAGGTTGATGGTTGAATCATCAGTACTATTCTCTTTATGGATTAGTTTTCATGAATTAGTTAGTTATTGCCTGTAATATATTCTATTCTATTGCCACCAAAACTCACTTATGATTTTATCAATTTGTAGTCATTAAAGTTGTATTTCCTCTTGATGATTGTATCTAGAGCTGCTATGAATATGACTACAGGGTGTTATGGACCCATTGGCTTTCAGGTTTTTCTGGATGAAATACCCAGGCATGCATGGCTTTATTTTGTGAAAGGTATGTTTAGCTTTTTTAAATGCAAAACTTGTTTCTAATGGTGATCATTTTATATTCTTATATCTCTACATTCTCATATAGTTCAATGACTGTACATACTTAACAACATTTCCATAACAATTTTTAAACTAGTATCATGAGTTACACTTGAATCTCATTATAATTTCACATCTCCAATGATTAATTATATTGATAATTTCTGTAATGCCTGTTGTTCACAGCTACATTTTCCTTAGTAAGTTTTATACATTAATAAGAGCCTATGTCTATTTTTATGTCTATTTTATGTCTATGTCTATTACTTTTTAAAAATTCTTTATACATTCTAGAGATGTCTTTTATGAGATATGTAATTTTCTAATACTTTTTCACCCTGTGACTTGTCTTTACAATCAAGGAGCAGAATAATAGAGGGGATGAACATAATCAAAGTGCATTTCATGCATGTATGGAAATATATGAAACTTCTTACTTCATACTATTAATATCTCTAATTTTAAAAAGGGTTTGAAGACTAAAGTTTCCTAATACAGTTTATTTTATTTTGGCAGTATGTTTCTTTATGGATCAAGTTTTCTTCTAGGCCATGACACTTTCCATCATGATTGTATCTGGAAGTTTTTGTTTTTATATTAATTTTATAGCTAAGATTTGAGTAAAATCTTATATTTCATGTGTGATTGATCATGGTTGATATGTGTGTGTTTGTGTATATACAGAGAGAAAGCTAGTTTTTTATTTTATTTTATTGTCTAAGTGATGTACAGAGAGGTTACAGTTACATATGCAAGGTAGTGAGTACATTTCTTGTTGAACTTATTACTTTCTTCCTCGTTTTTCTCCCACTTTCCCTCCCCACCAATGCCCCCGCCCGAAGTTGTAAAGTTCATTTCCAACATGTTGTCTTGTGAGTATTGCTGTTGCATTGGTTCACCCTTTGTCCTTTTTCTCACCATTTTGTTGTTTCCCTTCCCTGCCCTAATTCAAATAAATGTATATACAATACCTGTGGTACCAAAATCAAATACAGTAACAACAGTAGATAAACCTTGGGGGGAGGGAACCACAAAAGAAAAAAAATCACATAGTACATTTAAAAAATAACAAAGAAAACCGTCATGTTTCCATATCTTGGACTTAGCACCATCTTTTTTTTTTTGTGAAAATAACGTACAGAGGGGTTACAATTACATGGGCAAGATAATGAGTACATTTTTTATCAAGCATTGTTGCCTGCTCCATTGTTTCCCCTTCCCATCCCTTCCCATCTATGCCTTCTCTCCCA